CCCCAAAACCCCAAAACCCCAAAACCCCACGACTCTCTATTCGCTGATGAATTTAGCATTAATATAAAATTAATATATTATGGAATCAAAGATCAACAGATATTAAGAGGAGAGAAAACGTTCAAGATCTAGAGATTCTATTTCGAGCAGCGCTAGTTCAAGAATTGAAAAGGGTATCAAGATTCTTCACAACGAACCATCCTCCGAAATAAAAATCATTATGCTTCAAAACAAATAGGTAAATCACAGAAATGATTCATTTTCAAAACAGAGCTTTGAGTTTCAAGGAGCCTTACAAGTTCAAGTCCTTCATGGAACTGTGAAAGTACTAGGAGCAACTTTGAAAAAGGATGAAACTATTTGGCATCAAATAATATCAGATCCTAGAAAGAACATGCTCATTGGTCTATCAAATGAGAGCAATACTGCAGCAGTGGAGGAACTTAAATTATAAGTTAAAGGAGTCAATGAAGATATTTTGATTGCAGATTTACCAGAAAACACTGCTATTATAGCTATAAAGTAATATAAAGAATATGATGAGGAAGAGTTGAAGAGAACTATTGAATCTGATGGGACTCTCAGCATTTAAAATATGAATAGAGATATTGGACCTAAAAAATGTTTCTTCAGAGCAAACAAATCATGGACTAATAACTTGGAAGAAATAATTTAGTCTCTTTAAAATTCCTAAACAGATGAGGTGCAAAAGATTATGATTAATGGAATCGCGAATGTTGGGAAGTCTACTTTTGCTACATGCCTTATAAATATGATCTAAACTCTATGTGATCTGGAAGTGTACGTTATGGATTTGGATCCAGGACAGCCAAATTATAATCTAGCTGGGTAAATATCTTTGTCTACCATAACCTAGCTCATACTGACCAATAATGATTTCTAGGATATAACCCCAGTAAAATAATACTATCTGAACACTCCCTAGCCAAATCTTAATAGGAATTATTTCTTAGCTTGTGTTCAGCAATTAAACCAAACTTTTTAAGATTCATAGTCAGTAAAAAAGAAAATTTTGATTGTAAACACATTTGGATGGGTTGAAGGAATAGGAGCAGGAATGCAATTAGATATTGCGTACATTATAAAACCAACTCATTTAGTTACATTAATGAAACCTAATCAATATAAACCAGTTAATGAATTCAGATAATTTATGCCTGACAGGTATAATTAACCAAATTTGCAATATTTTGATGTTAACAGTGATGATTATGCAGGAGTAATGAATGTTAAGGGAGCTGTTCAAAGAAATAAAAAGATCATTAAGGCGCTAACATAAAATAAATAAGATGCTTACTTGTTTAAAGAAATATAAGATAATGGGAGCTAACTACCCTTAACATTCAACTCAAAGACTATGAGACATGATGATTTTTCACTTGGACATTAGCAATTCTAAAGGCTATCAGAGCAGCCATTCTAAATTATAGCATTTAATGATATAGCTCTAGGCTTCATCCCAGAGTAACTTAGCTACATCGAAAATAAAGTTGATGCCTTGAGAATCTTCAACAACCAGCTTGTTGCAGGAATCTCTATAGATAATGCCTAATTCAAGAGTCTGAGAAGTTATGATGATGTTAGGGTAACTGAAATTAAGTTTACTGATCATAGATTACCCCCTATTGAAATAGCATTCTTTGGACTCATAAGAGATATCGACTATGAAGGAGGAATTAAACTTATCCCACAGAATTCTATTGATCTTTCAAAGGTTAAGTTTAATGCATTGTGTCTTTGTCATGATAGCATCTTTAGATTCCCTTCAACTTACTTGATTCAAGATTAATCTGATGATATTAGACTAAGAGTTGAGTAAGATAATGAAAAGAGAAGAGTATTTAAGGGAAACAATAACTAATCCCAAGGAAATCACTAAAACAAATATCAGAGAAGATATTGAGTCCGTGCTCCTAATTAATAATTAATGAAAATTTAATTTATGTTTTTAAAGTGATTGATTCATTAAATTAATCTTGATTTCATAATCATTACTGTGATTTATTTTCTTCAGCTGGGTGATCATCGTGCTTCTTAGCTTTCTTATATATGACTTCTCCTTTCCCTTCTGCTTAGGCGCAAATTCTAGCGAGCATAAACAAGTAGTCACTAAGTCTGTTAACATATTGATAAGCGTGAGTCTCTATTTACTCCTCCTAGAATAATGGAATGAGATTTCTCTCAGCTCTTCTGCAGATAGTTCTAGCTAAAAAGATCTGATTAACCAAATTTTATTTTTGCTTACCAACATGTATATGTGAGGCTGCAAGACCACCACTAGGAAGGATAAAGTTTTTAAGAGGTGGTAGTTTTTCATCCATGAAATCAATTCTCTTTTCTAATTCTAAAACATTGTTCGGGTCAAAAGCAGTATGAATGATTTTTTTCTCATGAATTTCATCTGCCTTTCTAGGTGTTGCTACCTATGAACCTAAATCTATAAGTCTACATTGAATCTCTTCAACTTCTTCTGCAAACCTTTTATCTAGATCTTCAATACCTGAAAAGTATTCTCTAGCCTTAATTGAGTTAATTGTGAATTTAGATTACTAATCCAAGATGAGCATTAAGTTCGTCTAGAGATCCCAAGCATTCAAATATTCTATCATTTTTAACAAATCTGTCTCCTGTAAATAGAGCAGATGTTCCTTTGTCGCCGGTTTTTGTATAAATCTTCATCCCTCTTATAGTTAGGTTCTATAGCTGATTCTTTATGAAAGTTTCTTAGATTTATCTTTTAAAAGATATATTAATATGTTTTGCAAATTGCATCATATTTTATAATTTTATAATTCAGATTAGTGACTGTCAATAATATTTCAGTATATTAATTGTTCTCAATTATACTACTTTGGGGTTTTGGGGTTTTGGGGTTTTGGGGTTTTGGGG